GTTATAATATATTGCAGTTTAGTGTCAACAATTGCATTGGCGATGTGGCCCCTTTCGGCACACATACAGACAAACCCCAGGCAATCCACAGGTCTCATTGGTAACTCTATGGGCTTTCATTTGGGAGATCAGGGTTCAAAACCCAATGAGAGCAACTTTAACAAAAAATCTTTACAAACTTCATATTGTCACACAATTACCTTAATTACAAACACGTGCTGATGTGACAGGCACAAGCTGGTTTAGAAAACACATTTGAACTTGGTCACTGTTCATTCCGCAAGTCCAATGCTGCAGGTAAAGCCATGCTACAATGACATGCTACATGGCAATGCACACTTGTTTTTACATCATAAAAACCCATGTCTAGTGAAATATGTTTTTAGAAAACACAACAATAAGACAGCGACACGCAAAAAAGTAATAGATTCCTCAATTTTTGATTCTCTGCTGCTGTTTGCAAAACCTCCCAAAGCTCACAATCAGATCAAAGATATTTCACTTGGAAAAAAGCAGAAAATTTGGTTTAAATATTCAAATGAGACAATCCTGATCCTCAAGTGAAGGCTTGACCTATTTTCCAGCTTCCCTTCAAATCCTGCGTGGCTTTAATAGATCGTTTTAACAGCAGTCGTTTTAACTTGACACAGCAGGAAAAAGCACAGGTGTTGTTTTTTTCACCGTTAACAAAGACTCTGTTCTATTTAAGTGTCCCAGAACGCTGTGCTGCCTGTCAGCCGCAGACATTAAACAGGAAACCAAAGCAGCTCAATGGAAAGGGGATAATTTCATTATTTACACCTGTGACATTCAGGTTCTGTTCACTACATGTCAAAATAAGCTGTGATGCAAAGAGCTTTTGTTTCTAAAGAAAGGTTTTAATACATTTATTTATTTCTTAGGATTGCTGTTGGATTTTCACTTATTGGTTATCATGATCAAACTCACATGAGTTGAAGGAGTTTATTTATAGAAAACAAAGATTTTAGCTGGTTTGTGTTTCTTAAATTAGGTGTTTTATTTCAGTTATAATCAAACACTCTTTTCTACATCGGAGTTTAAAGTCGCTCATAAGAAACAATATACAGTATATATATATATGCATTTAGTTTTTTCAGCCATCATGCTTGAAACTTAAACTTAAACTTAATTTGCTGTTTTGATCCAGAAGTTAAAAAAACCCAAAGAACTAGAAATTTGTAAATTTAGAGCAAACCTTTTAAAAGGGGGAAATTTGACAGAGAAACCTGGAAATGAGGGATTTTGGGTGAAAACTGAAAGTTTTGAGTAAATTTTAGTTGATGTGTTTGTGTGTTTCCAGCCACACCCACTCATCATCACGGACGCAGCTGTCTCAGACTACGAGTCTACGTCTGCTGTCCCACCTGTAAGTCACAAACTCACACACTCGTCTCTGTGGAGTTGTGGGGGGTTTTCGTTGACTTCCATTAATCTCTACAGCCTGACCCTAAACCCTAAACCCAACCTCACAGGTGACATACCTGACCTTAACCTCACAGGTGACATACCTGACCATAAACCCTAAACCTAACTCCTGACCACCTGCTTTGGATTTTATCAGTCCATTAAATGGACGTTATCAGCGGTTATCAGTCCCATAGAATGGCTTCAGACTGTCAGCTGGTTAGCATGAAGCATAAAGCCACCGGTACAGGGGCCAATACATTTTTTACCATTTTCTATTTATTTTAAGTTATTTTAACTTCAGATCAGTCAGTTGAACCTGGACATGTTTGGTATTGAAATATACCTAAGAACTTTGGCTAAAAGCTCATGGAAACAATTTTTACATTCACCAAACAGTTCAAATGACAAGCAGTTGAATCAGAAAGTAAACAAACTGAACAAAATGGAGTCAGTGTAAATCTGTAAAGGTTTTTGACATTATTTTTTATAAAGTAAGTCGAAGTAGATACCTAAATATGCTGTTACGTGTCTTGAAATTTAACTTGATTTAGAGTGAATCTGATCCAACTGAAGTCAAATATAATTTCTCATTATTTTATATTATATATATGGAGACAAAATAAATGTTTGGATCATTTTTCAAAAGAACAAACATTCAGTAACAAGTCTTTTTTTTAAGGCAGGTAAGAAAAAATAAATAACTTTTGGAAGTAAAAAC